ATAAAAACAGTGAAAGGCAGCTGGTGTTTTAGTATATGTTTTTTTTTTCCTGAATGTCCTGAATAAACATAAGGTTCAGCTTAGCCTCATCACTACCATAGACAAGAGAGGTCCTTTTGAGAAAAATGTACAGCATTACTTGTAATATTGGGGATAGATTTCCTCTACACCAGATGTTGTGAGGATGACTTACAAAGACATGTGTACTAGTCTGGAACACAGATATAGATGAGGATGCTTTAATGTGGCTGTGTGAAAGCACTGGAGAACTGAGAGCAACAAAAGCAGATTTAGTGTTCGACCTTTCAAACTGTTTAACTCCACAATTCAGTATTCACAGCTTACAGTCTTTTTTAATGTGTTTTAGCAATACATTTATAATGGTTTTAGAATTTTTTATTGCCTTTACAGGGACTTTAGAGAGCATTTTCCCCAAAAAAATTAGCGTACATTTTTACTGTCTGTGATTTTCAATCAAGATTTATTTGAATTTGACAAAAAGTGTGGAAATACTATTTAATTGTGTGTATTTAGTACACATTTAATACCAGTGGAGCTGATTTATTTCAAAATGTCTAAAATATAATTTCCGCCACAGAATGAAATAAGCACAATACATCATTTGACATGTGGTGGAAATGTTCAAGACCTTTGAAAAATTCTTTCGTGATGCATGTTTACAGATGTTAGTCAAACTAAACAAGAGAGTAAAAAATCTAGGATAATGAGCTCAGTTTTCTGCTATACTGGTTTGTTTCATTTTTTGTTCACAGAAAAATACCGTCTGATTTAGATCAATCTATTCTCATTGCTGTGATCAAAAGGAAGACAATCAGTTTGCCATTGAACTATACGCAACCATTTCTTATGGCCAAATTCAGAATGGTTCCCTGCCCATGGCTACAATCCATTCTGCTTCCTGCCCTATTGATCAACCTCACAAAACAAAATATTTCCTAAGCTGTGAACTTGGACAAGCACCTGTGAACATTCTCAAAAAAAGCATTTGACAGGACACAAGTTTGGACTAGGCACATGCTAAATATTTATATAGCCACTCCTGGGAAAAGGATAGAGAAAGCCGTCTAAATGCTCAGAGAACTTAAAGACTGAAGAAAAGGGGAAGAATGTAAGGTTGTCCTTGGAAGACTGAAGGATAATATGTTTCATATAGAATATTACTGAATATCAAGAAACAAAAACATGGTCTTTTCTCTCTTGTCCAAATATGTATGTTTATAAGCCAAAATACCATGTGAGGTAGAGTAGTGTGATATATAATATAATACCACTCTTAAAAAATAAAGGTTCTTTATTGGCAGCGAATGTTCCAAGAAGAAACTTTACCATCCATGGAGCCTTTCCATTTCGCAAAAGGTTCTTTTTGTGGAAAAAGGTTCTTTAACAAAAAATGGTCCTTTAAAATACGTTTGACTGAAAGCTTCTTTGGGGAAACCAACATGGTTCTTTTATGGCATCATTTTGAAACCCCAAAGTGTCACCCAAACATAAAAATTCTGTCATTATTTACTCACCACGAAATGACTTACGTTCTTCTATGAAACAAAAAACGGAAAATTTAGCAGAGTTACACTCTAAAAAATGCTGGTTTTGTTTCAGCCCAAATTTGGATCAAATATAGACATAACCTAGCCTGGGTTTCCCCATGCTGCCTTGCCACAGCACGATTTTATTCGCGCTGCTAGGCAGTCTGGACACCATGAACCAAATTTTCCCCTGAAATAGGGAACCAATCACAGAACGGGGAGGGAGCACAGTTGCATTTGATAGGCATTCGTAGCACCCAATAATACGGCTCTGGGCTTTCGTAAACCACGCCTCAAACACGTGAAAATGAACATGTGGTTTTCAGACCACATTTCATTGTCAATGATACGTGGTCTGGCGTTAGCCAGGCTAGACATAACCAGCTGTTGGGTTAAAATTTTAAATTAAAATTTTAACCCAGCAGTTGGGTTTGTCCATTTTTTACCCAAATTTGGGTTAAAACAACCCTGCAGTTTTTTTGTGTAGCGCTCTTTTCCATACAATGAAAGTGAATGGTGATCACTGTTGTTGAGTTATTTAATATATGATTTATAGACTTGAATTTCAGTCTGTTGCTCACATAAAGCAACCGTATGGCTTTGGACATCTAGGAATACCTTATGCACCAGAGAAACGAGGGCGCCGCCATCTTTAGAATATTGTCTTTGAACTTCAGTTTTTATAATAGTAATTAGCTTTTGAAGTGGATTTACTTAATGTAAAGTTAACGAAAGTTATCATGAGGATTATAATGTTTAAAGCAGATGTCTCAACAAATGTCAGTCCGGGGAGATTTTAAAACACGCTGTTAATGCATAAAAAGGCAAGATCACCGTGAAAATACAGAAAGGAAGACAAAAGACAACGAGCGTAGCGCTGAAAAGGGGTGGGGCTACATAAGGTCTATTGAGAACGAGGAGTCACGTGCCTATTTGGGCGGGGTCTGAGCCGGTCGGCCATGATGGTAGGTGACGCTATCGGTTACCAGGGTTTTTAACGCAGCAGTTACTTCCAGGCATGGTAAAACAGTGCGGTATTGCGAGAAACTCCTCTACTACCGAGCTAAAAACACACGTAATCAATACTGTTTTGTAGTGGGAATCCTACCAACATGGCGGAAAGGGGAGGAGCACTGTAAAATGACGTCAACTCCTCATTCTCAATAGAGCATGGGTATGAATACTTTTGTTTCTTCAATAATTATTTTTGTTCTTTAAAGTGTTATGTATTCTGGTCCAATTTCTTTTTATTGGAAGAGAACAGCTTGGACATTTTGATTAAGTGTTTCACAGTAGAAAGAAAGTCATACGGTGTTGAGTGTGAGAACAATGTGCCTGTTAGGCTAAATGCAGTAGACTCCAAAATTCAATTCATGGGCAGTTTAGAGGACCTGTAAGTCAGCCAGCCATTTTTTGGAATGCAGCATGGATATAAGATAGGCCCAGGTTGGAAATTCAAATATCCAAAGGAATGCTAATTACAGTGGAAATCAAACACCATCAATTATAGAGTTTCAGCATTACTGCTGGTCTTCTCCCCCCTCCTTCAAAAAGCCGTTCCTCATCCAGGCACCTCTTCCGGCCATTCTTTTATGATGGGAACAGGCCTGGGGTGGAACAGGATAAAATTCATGAATTACACTGAATACTGAGCTTCCTTAACCTCATCGTCATATTAATTTATCAACATTTACAAATATTAGAAAGCGTGGGGGAAGAAATGCCTTGGAATGTCCCAGATAATAACCACAGCTGTAGAAATAATAAACAGATAATTATTGATGAAAGGAGACACAATAAATCTTAAACTCAAATGCATTTTGGACACATATTTTGAATAGTTAAGTCATCTGTTGGTCTGTTTGAAAATACTGTTCTACCACAGTGTCACACAGAACAAACACTGAATCACTGACCTCTGCGGCAGAGAATTCCTACAAGTTTTACATGGACGAGAGACACTCTGGCATCCCTCTCTTATACGCGTCTATTTGGCTAACTAATGATTGCTATTTGCTAACAAGCTGGTTTGTTTTCTCAGTACATGACTTTGTGTTTGTTTACAGAAGATTGACTCCAGCTATCAACCGTAAAAGCCAATATTTTAACCAAATATCTATAAAAAAAAACATTTAATTATTTCAGTGAACAATATGTGCAGGCAGAAGCATCATTTTTGATTATTGTAGGTAAAATAGTGTGTCAGAAATAACACATTTATTGTAAGCTTTGTCTCCATTTCTAAGCACTGCCCCATAAAATCTATATAAACTACAATGTATCACTGGAACAGCTTGAGGGGGAGTAGGTTTTTTTTATGGATGAACTATCCCTTTAAGTGAACATTAAGAAAGAAAACACGTCTGTGAGTCTATTTTATCCAGCATTAGGTCTTAAAATTTACACATCCAAGTGATTTTAAACAATCCCAGCGCAAGAAGAGGCGAAAGATAACTCAATTCTCTAGTCTAGCTCACTGTTCTCTGTGCACACAGCTACACACACCTGAAGCACATTTCAGAATTGATTGATCAGAACGGACACAATCACACAAAAATATGTCAAAATACCAGTTTTGGCAAATATTCTGAATATTCTCAATATGTCTGAAATGAAAGTAAATAGTTGAGAGAGAAATCGGATGTGTATCATTAATGAAGCCGTGCATTTGGACCTACAGTAAAGTACAGTACAGTTGCCTATAAATTCCTGCTGCTGTCCGTCATTAATGTTCATCAAAACACAAAACACAGCTTTAACAAAGATTAATGTGTTTTAAAATGTAGGCAATACAGTGAACACAGAGTTATTTTACATTTAATTGTACATTTCTGTACTTGAATATGCATAAGACCTTACTTTATTTGTAACTTTGTTATGTTGTATTTATCTATGCTTGTAAATAGTGTATATAAATATATACTATTTCTTTATTTATTTATTTTTTACTGAGCCAAGGTTTTTTTCTCCATTCTGTCACCTGATGGAGTTTTGGTTCCTTGTCACTGTTGCCTTGGCTTTTGCATGGCTTGCTTAGTTGGGGACATTTAATATTCAACAATATTACTGATCTGTGTTGTATTATTTTCATGTAATTTAATAATGCTTAAACTTTTTGCGGATTAAAAAATGATCCGATCCGTGACTCAAAAACCCGTAATATGATCATTCTAAACCATGAGTTTTGTTATGTGCTGTACTACTACCTATATCAAATAAAGAAGAAAACTACATGGAAAATGACTGCAATTGCTTAACATATTTATTAGTTCAGAAGAACAGACACCCTCAGACAACTTTTTGAAGTTTCAGGTTGACTATTATCATATTTTAAGAGGAAATTAAGTAATTGAGTCAGCGGTTCTTGAGGCAAAATTCAGGTAAATAAGCTTAATGGTGTTTGGCTAGTAGAGAAATTTGGGAGTTTGGGATACTTTCTTTTACTTACTTCATAGCAGTACAAGTGCACGTGAGACTGGTGTACATTTCAGGGTGAGCAGCGTTTAAGCAAACGTCAAAGCCAGTCTGTGATGGGAGTAATATTTTACGAGTCTTCTCTGCCCAGCTCTTATCGGTCATCATCTCTGTGCACTAAATCAACCGTCCGTCTGTAAGAAGACAAATACCATGCGGAAAAGACACATTAACGGCTGCACTCAAAGTCCTGCCAAGTGTCACTAAGCGTTATTGTCAGAGCCATGCTTTAACACCATACTGCCGACCTCCATTTCCTGTTTCCTGCCCCTAGAGGGCCTAAACACAATCTGAGGAAATCATTCTGCATCGGCCCTGCAGCAGAAAGTGTTAATTTAAGCAAGAGCCCTGGGCACATGTGAATCATTTGGGGTTTGAGAAAAAGCCCCCCTCATCAAAGTGTTAAAAACTAAGCAAATAATGCATCCTACCCATAATGCACATGTGGAAGACAGCAGGACAAGCTGAGAATCATTCACGAGGTTGTATAACTGAGCTCTGATTGATTATCTTGATTTGTAGCTAACGTGATGAGATGACGACCCATTCCATGAATCTTGCATACATTTATCAAGAAAGGAAGAAAGTTGAACTTTAAAGTAAAGCAAAGATTTGCAACTCATAAACAACAGAGGAAGTGTTATCATTTTTATCCGACTCTAAACAATCCACGATGAAAATAAATGACCATTGAACAGGCTTTCGTGACTTTCCTACTTCGAAACGGCGTCAGCTGAAATTTATTAAAAAAATTTTCTCCCATATCCTGCGGCTATATGACAATCATCAACACATCAAAACCATCGCCTTTTCTCTTTTTCCTCTTAAAGTCTGTAAAATATATTTTTTTAAACATTCGACTGAGTATGAAGCCAGAGGCTTGTGGTCCCAGCTAACAATGCTCTCACATGTCACTCATCTTTTATAGGTGCAGCTGACCTCTAAATAAATCATCGCGCATGCATGCGCCATGAAGCATGGGACTAGCACAGGAAATCAAAGCAAAGGCCGTCACTTGATGATGACAGACTCGGAGGCCTCAGACTAAAACATACATGTTTAATGTCTGCTCCCATGGTTACCCTTCAATAAGCTGCCATAAAAACTGAGAATGATCCCTTTGAATAAAACACACAACATCCAAAGTGGACTTTGATTTATATCGCAGGCTTTGTAGTTTGATTTGAATGGTTCTTTCTGTTTCATTTCCATGTTCAGGAGCCTGCCTGTCTATAGCATGCATGGCACATGCATGACGTGAGGTATTTAAACTGGTATGCAGGCTTGTTTGAAATCCCATATCTGGTAGGGCTGGTTAGAATGGGCCCCTCTCTTAGATGCATAAACATGTTTTTGTTATGTTCCCCCGTCCCATGGGTCAATTTGGTGCCATTGACCTATAATGGTCAGCAGTGAGTATATTTACTTCCCCCGTAAATCCAGGTACATAAAATCTCAGGATTCGGAACCATGCTGGTCCCATTTAGCTGGAGTGAAATCTAGAATAATCCATGATACAACAACTGCCATTGAAATCATAAAGCAATAATCTTGAAAAATTAAAAGAGAATATAAAAAGATTGTAGGAGCTGAGGTCTCTAAAGTCAGCATTTTTGCACAAAACTAATTTTGATAATGTGGAAAAAGTCACCAACATTCCAACATGCAACATTTAAAACCATTTAATCATGTAGACTTCACTGTGAGTTCAGAAAACATTTCAGGGAATCTGCACCATTCCAAGGACTGTTTTGTATTTCAGACCAAACAACACACATTTTCAGACATGCAACTTGTTTAACTGTGATGTTGTTGTGGCAAATTAGATTAGAGAATCAGAGATAATGATGTCACATAAATCTGGAAAAACACATGCTCACAATCAAAATGTCTATGTTCTACAGAAAAAGACTAAATAAATAATTGAATGTTTAAATAAAACTTGAGATTTATGAATAGCAATGTCTGGGGGAAACGATTCTTAGATTAAATAAATAACGCTGAAAAAAGTAACCAAAGACTTGTTTATTATTATTATTACTTCCAATACTTAACACAAGAAATGCATCATATTATAATCTGATTACATCAAACCAACAGAACTTGCAGCTGAGTTCAATGATTGCTCAATATTTTAGTTCAAATTAGCCTAAATTCAAACAAAGACAACACATGTCTGTGAGTAGCGTTCTCATCCACTACTGTTCAAAAAAGTTAGACTTTTCTTTTAAAAGAAATTAACTTTTATTCATCCAAAGATGCATTAAATCGTTCGAAATTGACATTAAAGGGATAGTTCACCCAAAAATGAAATTCTGTCAGCAATTACACACCCTCATGTTGTTCCAACCCTGTAAGATTTTATCCGTTTATCATCGGAACACAAATTACAATATTTTCGATTGAATCTGAGAGCTATTTCTCCTCCATAGGCTTCTAAGGGATTGAAAATTGTCGGTCAACAAACTTATTAAAGACATCGTTAAAATAGTCCAAGTGACTACAGTGGCTCAATCTTAAGTTTATCAAGCGACGAGAATACTTTTTTGTACGAAAAACAAACAAAAACAACGACTTTATTCACCTATTAATTTCCTTTTGTGTAGGCCTCTGACGTGAGTTCATGTAGTCGTGCACTTCTGTATTGTATGTCACACGCATCACACACAGGACCAATGTCGGCCAATAGTAAGCCTACATGTGACATACAACACAGAAACGCTGCGATGTTACACTACGTGAACTCCCGTCAGAGGCACATACAGAAGGAAATGAATTAGTTAGTTAGACTGATGGTGATACCAAGAAGTTTGAAAAAGTCTTGCCAGACACAGGAGATAAACTGAGGACATCTGTCGGAGATGATATCTTCTGGGAGACTAAAGTGACGAAAGATGTGTTGAAATAATGTATCTGCTGCCTCGAAGGCGGTAGGAAGTCCTTTTAGGGGGATGAGCTTGCAGGATTTAGAGACCGGTCAACTTAATGACTACAGACCTGTCGCTCTCACATCTGTGGTCATGAAGTCGTTCGAAAGACTGGTGTTGGCCCACATGAAGTCGTTTGAAAGACTGGTGTTGGCCCACCTGAAAGACATCTCTGGACCCCTGCTAGATCCCTTTCAGTTTGCTTACAGAGCAAACAGGTCTGTGGAGGATGCAGTCAACATGGGGCTGCATTATATCCTGCAACATTTCGACAGACCTGGGACTTATGCAAGGATCCTTTTAGTGGACTTCAGTTCGGCCTTCAATACCATCATGCCTGATCTTCTCACAGCCAAACTGACCCAGCTCTCCATGCCACCCTCGATTTGTCAGTAGATCTCCAGCTTCCTGATGGACCGGCAGCAGCGAGTGGGACTGGGGAAACTCACATCCAGGACTCTCACCCCAGCAATGGCGCCCCCCAAGAGTGCATTCTCTCCCCACTGCTCTTCTCCCTGTACATTAACAACTGCACTTCTAAAGACCCCTCTGTCAAGCTCCTGAAATTTGCCGACGACACCACTGTCATCGGTCTCATCCGAAAAGGTGACGAGTCTGCTTACAGACTGGGGGTTGAACGGCTGGCCAGGAATGGCTCTGGTGCAGTTTTAACAACCTTGAGCTGAACACGCTCAAAACAGTGGAGATGATAGTGGATTTCAGGAGGAACAGCCCAGCACTCCCCCCACTCACCATCATGAACAGCACTCTGGAAGCAGTGGAGTCATTCAGGTTCCTAGGCACTACCATCTCTCAGGACCTGAAGTGGAATAATCACATTGACTCCATTGTGAAAAAGGCCCAGCAGAGACAGTACTTCCTTCGCCAGCAGAGGAAGTTCAACCTGCCACAGGAGCTGATGATTCAGTTCTACTCAGCCATCATTGAGTCTGTTCTATGCGCATCCATCACTGTCTGATTTGGTTCTGCTACCAAATCAGACATCAGGAGACTGCAACGGACAGTCCGGACTGCGGAGAGGATTATTCATGCCCCCCTGCCAGCCCACCAGGACCTGTACTTTTCCAGAGTGAGGAAGAGAGCAGGTAAAATCATCACAGACTCCACTCACCCTGGACACCACCTGTTACTGTCAAGACGGCGACTTAGATCACTGGCCACAAAAACATCTCGGAACAGGAACAGTATCTTCCCACAGTCCATTTCCCTCCTGAACAGTTAAAACACTTCCCAAGGCATAGGCCTATGCCTTAAGTGCAATACTCCCACGGTTTAGTGCAATATCTTAAACTCAGGTGATATTTATATGTAGATATTTTTTTTACACACTTCACACTTGGCAAAAAAGTCTTTCTGATTCTGATTCTATGACGAAGATGCAGATATGAGATTTTGAAGATGGAATGTCGGTCATAAAAATCGATCCCCAGATGGGACCAGGGACGGTTGGCTATCGGTAATGGTGTGAGTTTACCTTTAGACACCGGAGAGGTGTGAGCCATGAGGGACAGGCGACAGGTCGATGGTATAAAGATACGTCCCTCAGGACCTCCCGGTAGAGCAGGTTCGGTCCAAGTGGCTTGATGGATTTGGCCATCGAGTGCCCATTGGATTGGGCTGACAATCATGGCTGGAGGGAGAATGGGTTCAGGTGTTGCGGGCTCAGGATCCGGATGATGAAGAAGAGAGAGTGCGTCTGCCTTACAATTTTTGCTTCCAGGTCAGAAGGTGACTACAAAAGTCGAATCTCGTGAAAAATAGAGCCCATCTGGCTTGACGAGGGCTGAGTCATTTAGCTTCTCTTAAATACTCAAGATTTCTGTGGTAAGTTCCTCCCTTCAGTAAATGTCTCCATTCTTCTAGAGTAAGCTTTATGGCGAGGAGCTCACGATTCCCAATATTGTAATTCTGCTCCACCGGGGACAGCATCTTAGAGTAGAAAGCACATGGATGGAAGCATAGGGGATAGTGGTGGATGCATCGACCTCTACGACAAACGGTAGTTCAGGGTTCAGATAGCGAAGGACTGCAGTAGAGATAAATGGAGAGAGGTGAGAGGGGAACTGATTAAACTGTAATTCTTGATGAAACAATGGTAAAAATGAAGGAAGAATCCCAGGAATCTTTGCCACTCTTTAATGGTGGTTAGTTGTGGCCAGTTCAGGATGGATTCCACCTCCCATTGG